CCCTCTTTCCCTCATTCAGACCATGACAACCTATTCTAACGCAAGCTTCTTCCTGTCTGTCCTGGTCCATCAGAAGCCAGTATATGCAAGGCCTGGGGAATAATAAAGGAATTCATTCCCTCGCAGTTACCTGGATGTACAAGCAGTCCCCAGCTCATGCAGCGCCCCAGCCTCTTCAATGCCAATGTACTCTGCTCTGGCAGTGGTTCGAAGAGGCATTTTCTCAACACTTAGCACCACCGTTGGCCCTGCGGTGACTTTCTATTAATAAACAGCACACACTTTCAGGCTGAGGAAGTAGTGTGCCAACCTGAGAGCTGGGACCTAAGAACGAGGCCTGAGGCCAGAAGACGGAAAAGCAGAGGCTAAGCCCCAGGCTCCAGGCTAGGTCCACCCTGTCTGTCAGAGGGGAGGTGCTCAGCCTTGGGAGTGGTACTGAGAGCCACAGAGATCACTTCCCGGCCCCCAGCCTTCCCACACCCTGTCGCCATCATTTCTAAGCACTGCTCAAAGCCAGCATGAAACCAGCTCTGACCCCCGGGTCTTTTGTCAAGCCTCTCCACCCTATATTCATGCTGCCAGTCGGCCCCTCAGGACACACCTTGCTCTTAGTCCTTTGGTTGCAGCCCACACATGCCCTGACTTTTCCCTGCACTCAGGTCACCCCTCCCAGCCTCCCGGGCACAGCTCCTGGCTTGCCATGCTAAGGTGCTGTAGGAGGCAGAATCACCGGGAACCCAGGGGCCACCACAAAGCCGAAGCGGAGAGGGGGATGCTGACACAAGCCCTCTATCCTCTGTTCAGAGTCCCTTCCCCAAGGCCCTTCTCTGTTGCTCTCCCTTCAGGAAGATCATGGGAAGGGCAGGCCCCGTGGCTCCCTCCAAGCCTGGGAGAATGGCAATGCCCCAGGTTCCCTGGCAGACACTCCACTGCCCAGTCCTGCAGTCTCCTAGCCAGGGGAGCCCCCACCCCCACCATTCTTTCCAACCCCACACACTACCCCCAAGAGAGAGTCCACGGTGAAGGAATTCTACCTTCCAGATGAGGGATCCCGGGCATGTGACCTGGCACCCCGTGCCAGTTGTAAAAAGGGACCTTGGAGCTGAAGACACAGGAAAATGAAGAGTAGAAACTGATCCGAAGGGTTAGTGAGACAGCTCCACCCACAACAAGCTTGTCATTCAAGGACCTTGCGGAAGCTTAATCCTCAGAACCCACGTTTTAAAAGGGTTATAAAAACCTCAGGTCTGGAGGCAGAGGCAGGAGGATTCCTTGTGCTTGGTAGCCAGCCCAACCTACTTGAGGAGTTCCAGGCCAGTGAGGGAAAGAGAGAGAGAAAGGGAGAGAGAGACCTCATCTCCAAAAACAAGGTCCCTGCTAGAGAAGAGACTCAACCTTTCAAAGAACTTAAATTTGGTTCCCAGCTCCCATGTCAAGGGGCCCACAGCTGCCTGTAGCTCCAGCTGCAGGGGATCTGAGCTGCTTTTCTGGCCTCCACTGGCACCTGCACACTGAATAAACACACACACACACATACACATAAGTAAAAAATAATAATAAATGTAAAAAACATGGTAAGTCAGGCATAGAGCCCTGAGCACTCTGAAAGCAGGGGGAGGCAGATCTCTGTGAATTCAAGGCCAGCCTGGTCTACATAGCAAATTCCAGGTTAGCAGGGGTCGATAGTAAGACCTTTAAAAAAAAAAGCAGGGTGGTGGTGGCACACGCCTTTAGTCCCCGCACTCGGGAGGCAGAGGCAGGTGAATCCCTGAGGCCGGCCTGGTCTACAGAATGAGTTTCAGGACAGCCAGGGCTACACAGAGAAACCCAAGCAAACAAACAAGCAAACTAGGTTGATGGTCCCTGAGAAAGCATACCTGAGACTGACCTCTGACCTCCACAAGTACATGCACCTGCACTCGCGCACTTACACACACACGCACACTTACGCATGAACACTATCTCCCACGTTCTGCTGTATGGCCGAACTTAGAGCCCTGCTGAATCTCCTCACAACTCCTTTAAGGTACTGTTGAAGCCCACCCCTCCCGACAGGAACATGCACAAAAGAAAGCCTCCCGAAGCCCCTCTGGAACCCGGGTCGAGACCCCTGCTCTGCAAAGGCCGTCTGGGCTAGACTTAGCCCAGGCTCTAGTCCAAGGCCAACACTCACTGCTACTCAGCAATGTCTCCGCCCTGATGTTGGCCCTCCCAGGAGTGCCGTGCTCGGGACAGGAGCTCTGTGTGGCCCTGGGCCTGATGCCAAGCAGGGCTTAGAGATGGCAGGGCAGGATGCCTGTGGGGTAGGTCGCTCTCTGAGGACTGTCGCTTTCTAAAAGCTGCCTGCCACCCCAGCATCTGCACAGGGGCCTTAGACACAGCAAGGGTCCTTTTAGAGACACAGCTCTAGGCCAGATTGCTCATTCTTTCTTTTCTTTGTTTAAGCGTGTGCTCGTGTGCGCGTGTGCCTGCGCATGTGTGACGCAACCAACCTGTGGTCTCACATGCAGAAAGCTAGACGCAGGTCTGTTTGTTCCGGCTCCTTCAAGCACGGGCCCTGCGGTAGTCCAGCAGTAAACACGAGGACAATAGCCGCAGGGCCTGTGGGAGGTCAGACGGGAGTTCGCCGCCATGGGAGCCCTTGCAAGGAAACTGTGGCCTTGCTCTCCACACAGCTGTACACACCCTGGGTGACTCCCTAGCGATGCACGTCATTTCACACACAGGGTCAGAGAGGTGCCTCAGCAGGCAGAGACACTTGCCGCCAAGCCTCATGACCTGAGTTCTAGCCAGAGAACCCATCCACACGGGTTGAAAGAACTGACTCTTGCGTATTGTCCTCTGACTCCCTTGTGCATACCCAGACAATACAAATTAAGTACATTGAAGTCACATGTATGTGCATGTATTAAAGCTTCAATTCCCATTACCACCCAACGTATCAGATATATACACATATGTATGTATGTACGTAAAAGTGTCTGTGTGTGAGCCTCTTATTTTACATCTGGTCTCTCTGGCTCAACCTTCTCCATGGCTCTTCCATCCCCCTCTCACCACACCACTGGGAGTTAGTTGCTCACAGCACTGTTCTACAGTCTCAAGTTGGGTGGAAGACAGAGGTGAGAACCAAAGGCCCCAGGCTGCTCTCTTCATCACTGCCCCATAATCAGAGTCCAGAACCTCAGGCAGAAATGAAGCCTTCCCTCACTGTTCTCTGCCTCTTCCTCCATTTCTCTCCTGCCCTTTCCCCTCTCCTCCCTTTCTCCCTTCTTTCTTCCCTTTATCCTCACCCTACTCTGGCTCCTTCCCTTTCCTTTTTTTCCTTCCTCTCCAACTTCAAGGCCTAGCCAACTGAGCATAGCTAGCTGGATATGTCTCAAGCTCTTGCTCACTTCATCCTGCTGGCCCTCAGGGCCTGGGCAGCCAGGCCCAGCCAATGCCAGGGCTGTTTTGGAAAAGTGCTGGGAAATGGCTGAATGTGTATCCTCTAACTTCTATCCACACTGGTGGCCCAGTCCAGGGATAAACAGTGTCCCCATTTGTCTGCCCAGTGTCTGTGTTCTCCTTTCAGGCCTGGGGAGCCCAGTCTACAGTGCCTGGGGAGAGCAGCTAGCACCACTGACCACCATCCGAGCACCACATGGAAGAAGCAGGGACTGAGGCAAGGACTGGACCAGCTCCCCAAGACAGGGTGCTCAGGCCAAGGGGACCCCTGGGGCTATGCTTCCATTCCCTTCGCTGCCTCCAAAATGGATGGAATTCACACCCTGACAAGCCACTGCCTTCCCGGAAAGTTTCCTGAGACATCCAGTTCCTCTAGGGCTGCTGCTGGTGGCTGAGCCTGGGTCAGTCTAAGGAAATACTCTTCAGCTCAGGGCTCTGCTTCCAATAGCCTCACTCCATTCTCCTGTGGCCTTAGGAAGGTCACCACCACTGCAGGATTCTACTTATATGAAAAAAAAAAAAAGGATTCCCCCTGCCTTTTCCATTCTGGGGAAGGTGGAAGGTTGAGGGTGAGCAGATCCAGGGATAGGAGTGGGGCAACCACACTCACCTTCAGAAGAACCCAGAGTCCCCTAGTGCCTTTGTCAGCTGCCTGAGTGGCCAGTCTCTGTGGTCCAGGACGGACAAACAATGCCCTGTGTTTCAGTGTGCCCGGGTCAGGGTGCTCTGGGCAGAGCATCGCTCAGACTATGAGAAAGAACTGACGTGACCACACAGGGACTTTTGTTGGGCCTGCCTGGAAGTGGCCACCCCAGATTGAGAGAGGAGGGCCCAGGCTGTGACACCAACAGCGCTTCTGGTTCCTAGCCTCCCCCCACCACATCCACTGCCCTAGTCCTAGGAATCCCTGTGGACATTGTTTGTCCTCCTCCTCGCCCTGCAGACTTGCCTTCCCAGGCTCCACCCCAGGCCTGTTGGACGGTCAGGCCGTAGAAAAGCTTGGGAAATGGGACGTTTCGGCTAACAAAGTGGCTTGAGATCACTATAGTCTGGGGTCATACTGGGCCCCCTGAGAGACCATCCCTGCGATACAGAAACCTGGTTCACTGTGTTTGGTTCATTTCCCAAGCACATGTGATTGGGGCATGCACATGATCCCATGACCCCCTTGAAGCAGATGTGGCAGATCATCTGCTCAGGAACAGGCTGAGCTCAGAACGAGGCGCCCAGTCCTGTGCCGCCCGTGGCTGCATATTCCACCACCCTTGCTCAAACCGATGAAAAAGCCTCCGAGCTGTGGGTCATTGGGCATCCCTGGCCGCAGTTTCACTTGGTGGCATGGGGAAAGCCTCCCTGCCTGTCTCCCCATCAGGCCCTGGACCTCGTCACCACCTTTTTTGTGTGGGAATGTGGGGCTCAACTACACAACACAGTCTAGGACTTCCTGAATGGCTGGTGTGGGCATTGCTGAAGGGAACGCAGACCACCCCAGGAGGGAGCCTTCCAATGAGTGAGTCTGAAGGGCGGGAGAGCAGACAGCCAACAGAGACAGGTTGAGTCCCCACAGTTTATTATGGAAGCCAATAAAAGAGCCATATTGAGTACTTCACAAAATGCATGACATTCTTTGTTGTAATATGCAACATGGAATATTATATACACATCAAAACCACACGGCAGCCAAAACACACACGACACCAGATCATACCAAAACACACAAGTGCTTTCTCAATATTAAAACAACTGTGATAAAAACATATTAATATTTTGAACCATGTTTACAATAAAGAACAATTCATAGTTTACTAAATAACAAATATTTAACAGCAAAAACTTTATACTAAATATCTATTTTGAATTATAACAAAAATAGTACTTATAATAGTTTATAAAGACAGACACAAAATTATAACATTTATGAAAAAAAAGTTTTGTGTATAAAATAATAGGAATCTGGGCAGGATCAAAATGGTCGCCCATTACGCACACGCCAGCGCCTAACTTTGAAAGTGCTTCATTCTGCAAGCCCGTGGCAGGAAGTTTTGTGGGGTTTGTTTTTTTAATGTCAAGTTACAATAGTTAGGAATGTGAGAATACACCACCCATTAATGCTACCACAATGAAACACATGAACACGCAACAGACACATCTACAGAGCTGAGACAGGCATCACAGCCCCAAGTGCCTGGGCCTGGCCCCTTTTCCGTTACCTTAGAGACCTGTCCAGGCAGACCATCTTCTCTTCCCCACCCTCCCAGGGATCCCCCTCAGCTTTTCCTTCTCCACACCTCCTGGGCTGGCCCCCTGAAAAGAATGACCCCTGAAGCCTGCTGGGGCCCTGCAGAGCCAGGGCATCAGCCTGCGACAGATGGCTGCGGGCGAGCAGGGTCAGTGTGCAGGGCATGAGGCTCCTGGGCACTGGGCTGCTTTGTGGACCGGTGGCCGCACACACCTGTCACATAGGCTTTGATGAGTCTTTCTACATTTTGGCCTGTTTCAGAACTGGGAAAGGAGGTTGAGGGATTATACTTATTTTTAACCTCACAATAGTTTTGCTGGCAACATCTCTTCTAATGCTCTCAAGTTTGTTCTGGTTCTGTCAGGAAGATGAAGACCAGCGAAACACAGGGGAAGCGTGGCTTATGGGACATTCTGGTGGCTGGTGAGGTGACACTGGCCACCAGGCTCAGGCTGATGTGGGCTGTCATTCTGTGTTTTGATTTTTGGGTTCTTCTTCTTGTGAAAAGGGCCCATCATCTTTGTAACATGCAAAAGCAATGGATGGAAAAACAAAAGCAAAGAGGAATCTGAAAACAGTCAAATGCCTAGAGACTCACCAGAGCTCCAAACCCTTCCCCAGAGGGTCCGGAGTGGCCGACCCTCAAAATGCGGAGACAGGATCCCTCCTCTTCTACCCAGTCATCCCCCCTCCCCCAGCCCCACTGGCCTTTCTGCGACTGAACCACTTCTGACAAATCACTTATGCCCTGTCCTCTCCCTCTTCTCCATGGCTTTCTAGCTTCAGCCTCCCGGGCAGCTTCACCAGCAACAGTGTCGTGCCCCCCCCCCCCCCCCCAGCAGCTCCAGGGCAGGCTCTCTCTACCTGATCTGTTTTCATCTCTACCCCATGCTCTGAGCTGAGCACACAGTGCCATGGGGGAGGGGGACTCCTCCAAGAGCAAAGGGGCAGAGAGTGAGGGTTTAAGGAAGGAAAGGCAAGACATCCCCTCAGAAGAACTCGTGTCCTTATGCACCCTTAACAGGGGAGTGGCTGGCACCAGGGCAGGCAGCGGGTGAGCAGGAAGTGGTGGCCCCCAGACCCACTAGCCCAGGGCTCTGAGGTCAAACTGAACCTTTTGCCTGGAGCCCAGGAGGGCTGCTAACCTTCCACACTGTCTTCTTGCCTCACCTAAGTCCTGAAAAGGACAGCTAGGACAGAGGTTGGCAGGTGTGTGTATATAGGGGTGGGGCTTCTGCAGACCTCGGTGTAGCCAAGGTCAGTGAATAAATATGGGCTAGGGGGGCAGGGTTGGGCAGCTGGGAGCCCAGCTGTAGCCAGGAGCCACCTGGCTCAGTTGGTCCCACCGGGGAGGAATGCTGGGGTACCTGTCCAGGGCCACCAAGGAAGATGCTGAGGGTTAAGCCTATAGGCTCCTATACCCCAAGGTCAGAAGAACAAATAGCAGCAAAAGGTAATTTCCAATGTCCAAACTGGTTAGGCTGGCACAGGCCCCCTGGAGGCTGGTGGAGCTCCCGCCCTGTCGATGTTGGCTTACGTGGAAATCCCCAGGGCCCTGTTGTGGGCACCAGGTGAGCAATGACAGGAGGGGTGGCACAGGGTGTCACAGAGTGCTCCAAGGCCTCTTTTCCTCCCTCCTGCTTGCACAGCCACCTGACCACCAACAAAAAGACAAAGGGGTAGGTCAGGTAAGGGAGTGTTCAGAGTTCATAAGCTTGGACTGCAGCTCAATCAGCTGGCGCTAACACTGTCATGGGCATGCAGAGCCCTGTCCTGACCCTGTCCAGGGAGCTAAACTATGGGGCAGTGGAGATCCAAGAGAGTGGGAGTCAGGAGAGGTGGGGCCCTTTTGTTTTTGTTTTGGGGGGAGGGTTTGCCAGGGAAGAGGCCAGAGGAGGACAGCATGGGGGTGCTACTGGCCTCCTGTCCAGCCTCTCCCCACCCAACAGGTTTCTATCCCTGTCCCACATCCCTCTGCTGGGCTGGGCGGAGACCAGAGTGAGGCTACACTGTAGCACTCAGCATGGCCTCTGTCTCAGGCAGAATCTCATTCTGATTGGAGTCCAGACCAAAGAACTTGACACTAAGGCCATCCACCGGGTGCAAGACAGGGACCAGAGTGATGCGAGGGAAGGTCCGGGTGGCCAGCTCGAAGCGGCTGGTGCTGGCCAGCTCCACTGCCAGCACCTTCAGGAACAGCTTGGCCAAATGCTTGCCCAGGCAGGTCCGCACGCCACCGCCAAATGGGAGGTAATGGAAGCGGCCATCCTTGTCCTCACTGCGTGCCTGGCTGAAGCGATCAGGGTCAAACACGTTCACATCCTTGAACACAGGCGCTGTGTCGTGGGTGTCTCGGATGCTGTACATGACACTCCAGCCCTTGGGGATCTGGAAACCCTGGAGGAAGACCAGGCAGCGGCAGGGTGGTGAGAGCCGGAAGGGGATCACGGATCACTACCTGCCCTTATTCTTATATGTCCAAGGCCTGTCCCTAACCAAAGACACTACTGCCCCAGTGTGCTAGTTCACGTCTCCATTTCTGTAGGTCAGAGCAGCATCCCAAGTAGCACACAGTTGGCTTCAGTCAGCTTTGCATTTGGGTGAAGCATCTCCCACAGGATTGGGAACTATTAGAGTTGGGCACCAATCCCTATCTCCTCTCCCACCATATCGAGGACCCCAACATGGCTGTCTCTTCCCAGCATCTAGCTAAAGCCATGACACTACCACCAGCACCACAGCCCAGTCTCACATCCAGTTCGAAGGTCTGCAGCACAGTTCGGTAGCCACCGGAGATGGGCGTGAAGAGCCTCATGACCTCCTTAATGACACAGTCCAGGTAGCGCAGGCCACTAAGCGTGTCCAGGCGCAGGGCACCCTCACAGGGACAGCCACCGCCGTGCAGCAGACCCTGGGCTCGCAGCTCCTCGCGCAGCTTCTCCAGCACAGCAGGGTGCTTCAGCAGCTGCATGATCAGGGATGTGCTGGCGCTGGCCGTGGTGGCATAGGCTGCGAAGATCAGCTCCAGGGTGCCATCCTGCAACAGTAGAGAGACGCCACTTAGGAGGACCTATGCTGCTAGCTTCCCGCAGAGCAAATCTGCACTAGGCTCTGCCGCCTGGCTGCCAACACTGTTGCTCTCAAAAGGCTCGTGGAGGTCACAGGCCGGTCCCTAGCTTGGCCAGAAACAGACTGCTGTGACTCAGGATAGGAGCACAGGCCCTCTGGCTCCAGAGCTTAAGGTCACTTCTTTCTTAGTGCTGGACTCCTGGCCAGCACCAGCAGGCTACATTGCGGAGGCTCAGCACTGTGTGTGTGTGTGTGTGTGTGTGTGTGTGTGTGATGGTAATTACATCCCCAGCTTCTTCCTCCGTCACCAGGTAGAGGTCAGGTAGGGGGCAGGATCTGGAAGCAGGATAAGGCAACAGCTAGGAGGACCTAAGAGGGGACTGCAGTGGAGCCCAGAGGTCCCCTCATCCCAAAGTCGGGATACTTGGTAATAAAGCTCCAGCTTCCTGGGGAGGTCTGTGGACACCGGGTAAGGGTTGGGGCAGAATGTTAGGATGAACAAGCCCTCTCAAGTTGAAGAGCCCCCAAACAGGACCTAACACAGGGACAAGGGTCTGGGGCCCAGCTGTGCTCAGGCAGTGGGATGGACAAGAGCAGCAAACACCACCAGAGAAGCTGCAGGAAAGGGCATCCATACTATGATCAAGGAGTCTGGAGCTGGCCTCCAATGAGTGGTTTCTGCACACGTTTTCTTAGGACCATGGAAAGAAGTGAGAGAGTAACCTAGGGCTACGTTCAACAGGCGGTGTCAACAAGCCACTATCAGCCTGTTTGTACGCCTCAGGGCCAATGTTCCAAAACCTCTTAAGAGCAATAGAGATGGGTATGTATAAGATAGAGCTTATGGGGCCTGGCCACCCCCAGGACATAGTGCACACAGCCCCAAGCCGCCTGCTGCTGTGAACAGAACAGACTAGCCCCAGGCATCCTTCAGAGCAAGGGCAAGAATACCGCTCTGCTTCTGCCTCAGCCTGAGGCAGCCAGTGTTGCTGCTGCTCAGACAGACGGTGAAGGCAGCCAGGCAACCCTCTGCCCTGGGTGAGGGAAGCCAGAGAGGGACCCACAGTGGAGTGTGGTGCCGCCCACTGACCTTCAGCTCCTGCATGGTCATCTCCTTGCCGTGTTCCTTGCTGCTCTCAATGAGAATGTCCAGGGCATCCGAGTAGTCTTTGCCCTGGGTACACTGCAGCTTCTCGCGGATTGCCTTCTCTAGGCCCTTCTGAAGGATCTGCCGAGCTTGGATGCCCTAGGGAAAGTGGACCAGCAGCTCATCTTGAAGGCAGCACTTCTTCTGAGCCCCTGGACCACAGGAAAGGCTCCAGACCCTTCCTGTTGCTCTCAGCTGCCTGCTCCCATGCCCGGTGCTCCCTCCCTCCCCTCCCCAAGGCATTCTTGTACCCTCCCTTCCCAGGCGCTGGCTACTCACCCTCCGGTAGCCACTGAAGGGCAGGTCCACAGGCAGAGAGAAGACATTCTCCACAAACTGCTGGTACACCTCAAAGAGGTGTCCCAGCTCCTCCTCAGGGATGCTGAAGCCTAGCAGCACGCGCACCGCCATTCGGAAGGTAAGCCGCTGGGCCTCCTGATACACGTTGATGGCCTCAGGCTGGCTGCTCCAGGCTCGAAGTGTGTCCTGGATCACCAGCTGGATCTTGGGCAGGTAGCTCTCTAGTGCCTCATGGCTAAAGATCTTGGAGAAGACCTGAAGGGCCCAGAAACAGGTGGTAAGGGGCCAGCAGCCAGGAGGAATGCTGTCCACACCCCTTCTACCATGCTTCCCGGGGGGTGCTTCCAGGCCAGCTACCCTTGTGCTGTCCTCTCTACTTTACCACCTGTGTTTGTGAGAGAGTGGGAGGCTCTCCCAGCGTTGGGCCACCACAGGGGCTAGGATGGGGCCACAAGACGGAGTCTGCACTTATCTGCCAAGTCCCAAGACCTCAGGCAGAAATGTCAGGAGAGGTGGGACACAAGTATCTACTGACACACAGCACATGTGGCTCTCCCCGGATCCACCGGTGGACAGGCAAGAGAACCCATGGCTAGACAGAAAGCAGGACTTGCCAAGGACCCAAACTGCCATGAGTCCTGATGTGATGACTATCGAGTGGATGCTCTAGGAAGAGCAAAGGACATGTCACTCAAAACCTCCTGTCTGGCGAGGCCTCCAAGCACTGGCTTTCTACCCCGGGAGATCATGAAGACCCTTTAATTCTGAACATGTTCTAGGACCATTAGGGATCCCCGTCCCCGTCTCCAGGCCTCGCACCCATTCTACTGATCAGCTGGGCAATGCCTTGTCTCTACGGCAACATGAACATGGTTTTCACACAGCTATACTCTAGCCAAGAGAGGGAGGGTATCTATTTATTTACTCACAGCCTGTGGGTCTACTTATATCCCCAGATACAAGTCCAGAACAGGAGGTGGCCCCCTGCTCCAGAGCTGAGAACAGAGGGAGAGTGCAGGGGCGGACGCCCACCCCGAGCAAAACCACATAAGCACACTGCCCTCCCGTCTGCCCCCAAACACAACCACCGCACAAACTGTAAATGTGAGGATTGCCCCTGCAGTCAGCTCATGGAGGAAAAGGGAACATTCTCCTGGCCTGTGCCCTGCCTGGCTAATGGGAGGGCTGGTCTGCAGAAATAACAGTGCTGGCCCTTCAGAGGCCCAGCCTTTTCACACAATAGCACTTTCATTCCCATTCCCAGCAGGCAGGGGAGGGAGGGAGGCCGGTGAAGGGCAGAGGACCTTACTGCCCAGACCAAGTCCACTGCCAAAGACCAGCCTAGAGGAACCAGGGTGACAGGAGGTCTTCTAGGTCACTCACACCCTGCCCAATTCGGGGTGTTCTGGGGAATTTCCTAAACGGGGGCTTCAGTGGCTACTTCTGGTCAGAGGGTTATAGAGGAAGACTGCACTGGGCGCCTGAGCTCTTGTTCTTCTGTTCTAAGGACCAGGTTCAGCCTTCAGCCAAGGGGTCTTAAGGTGGTGGTGGTGGTGGGCCTGAAAGAGTGGGCCCTCATCCCCAGGAGTTCAGTGACTACTGACCAACAGAGGCCTAGCAGAGAATGGAGCTTTGTGGAAACACAGTGGGGAAGCAGGAGGATAACTCCCTGTGGCCAGACAGGAGGAGAAGCTGGCAGTGGGGTAGGAAGGGACAGTGACCCCACACTGGGCTGAGAACCAGCAGGCTCCTGCAAGCGGGAGAGGGTAGAAAATGGCCCAGTGGAGCTCTGGACTCAACACTGGCATATGCAGGAGGGACAGGGTAGAGGCCACTGTCACCAGGACCAGCCAAAGTTAGGCAAGCCATCTGGATACAGCAAGAAAACGGCAAGGAAGGTCCAACTGGACGCCCAGAAGCCTAACTTATAATAAAGGATTTTGTCACCCAGCTCAGAGTGTGTTCATGATCAGGACGCTTCCCTCAAGGCCTCAGTTTCCTCATCGATGATGGGGAGACCTACCCAAGAGACCTCCGGAATGTTTTCAAGACACACAGCATCTTAGCACCTATTTCTACTTTCCCCAAGAGGCCCTTCCCAGCAGCACAGTCCTGCAACACCTGACCCCTCTGAGACAGCCTGGCACCCCATACTCACACCACCAAAGTCCTGGTGGCCTGGCACAGGCTACCCCAAAGGCTGACAAGGAGGGCATTCTAAGAAGGGGTCACTAGGCTCATGGACAAGCCTGGAGTGCCCCTTAGGTTGCATTCCCTGCGCCCTCTAGTGACAGCTAACTGAATCACTTCTCTGGCTTGAGGGGCCCAGGAGGGCAGGGGCAACCCAGAAAGACAGCCAACGGATTTGGGAGCCGATCTGGGGCTAGGCAAGGAAATCTATGGCAGGGGTCCAAACTTGCTCCCAAGTGGGAAGGGGTCCTGACCAAGTCCAGGAAGCCTGGCCAGACTCCTCCTCTCCGGAGCCCTGAGAAGAAGAGTGAAAGCCCAGGTTCTTGTCTAGACCAGCCTCTGACTTGCTGTTCCTCTGGCCCTGAGTCCCCCCGCTGGTTGTACGAAGAGTCCATCTAGATGTTCCAAACTCTCTTTCCACCCAGATGTTCCCCAGTTCTCCTTGGCAGTTTTCTTCCTACCCTCTTCCAAAAGATGAAGAAAGCATGGGCATGAGAAACCAAGCAGAGGCCAGTAGCAGGCCCTCCAGCAGACGACCTTTGCTCATTCACCAAATCCGCAGCCCTGCCTCTACTTCAGCTGCTCTAGAGACACAGGGCCTCCCAGGCTCTGGGAAGATGTCCAGATTCTGCATCTCTGGGTCTGTGCCCAGGGCTAACAAGGCGGGCACTTCCCAAAGCCAGGCAGCCCAGAAACCACCAGCCACCACGGAGGACAGGCAGAGGTGCCTGCCAGGGCCAGGAGAGGCCTGGGCCTCATCAGTTTGTTGGATCTGAGGCTGCTGGCCACTGGGGTCAGGCCTGGGGCACAGGGGAAGGTGCCTGGGAGCAGCTCGGTATGAAAAAGGCTCCGGTTCAGGAGCCCTGGCCCTGACCGCAAGCAGCACAGTGGCCAGGTTGTTTTGTCTTTCATGGGGTCTTCCCTGGGATTCCCAGTATGAAGCCAAGAATGCCACACAAAGGTCCGTCGGAACCAGCCAAGGCCTGACAGAGTCCTGCAGATCAAGCCATAGCTATGGACTTTGCAAGGAATGGGTGCAGGAAGAGCAAGGGAAGAGGGTGCTGGGGACCCCAGAACATCCACCCAAGCACACCCACAGAATCACAAGAAGGCTGGAGGATGGGCTGTTGTAAATGTGTCCCTGAAGAACACGGCCTGACCCTCTCACTCTTCCCAGTAACACAGTTACCTACATGCTGTCTCCCCCTTACCCCCGCCCCCCCGTGGGTGGAACCTTACTGCGTACAGCCTGGAAAGCTCACCTGGGCTCCTCAAAGCCCAGATCCCCTATAATTGTTCTTACAGATGTCCTCTCTCCCAGCCAGACTTCCTCTCTCCTCTCATCCGCTGTCTCTGGGATGGGAGGTCACCTTGTAAAACCCACAGCTCCCACGGGAGAAGTACCGCCTGATCAGCCAGCACTTGAGGGCGAGTGGGCAAACTGATGGGCAGCCATAGCAGCAGGCAGGGCCTTAGAGGGAGCCCACTGCCCAGCCATGACTCAGCTGAGGAGGAATGGAAGCTGCTGCCCAGGAGGGGTGGGGGCCGGGGCAGGCCACCCAGCCAAGCCACCAGCGCCTCGGCCTGTAGAGTGGAAAGAATAACAGAAGGCAGGCAGGAGTCCGCATAGAGGCGACGCCAAGGTGTGTGCGTTATACTCCAGCAAGGAGGGGCTGAAGAGGGCGTCATTCTCCAGCTCCCTGCAAGGCCACCTGGCCCCCTTCCCCTTCCTCACTTCTGGTCAGGCAGGGTGGGCCAGGCACCCCACTTCCCTACCTACACGTGTATGCCTGTGTGTGCACCCTCCCACCCAGACTCTTCCACAGACCCCAACCAAAGCACTGGAAGGGTAGGACGCAGCTGGCTGTCCATTTGCTTATCTTCTTCCAGCCACAAAGCCCCTTTGGAAAGCTGAGGTCCACATGGGAAGGACCTCTCAAGGTCACAGAGTAGGGTGACCGTCTATACCCTGTGGTAGGACCCTCAAACCCCTACCCCATACCAACCTTTGGGGCCTGAGGAGCCCAGAATGGATACAATGCCTGTCATTAGGCTCAGAGCCAGAAAAGACTCCAGCCTCCCCTCTCCCCACCAAGGCCACATTTGCCTTCCAAAGCTGGCAGGGTCGGGGTCCAGCAGGAGGACCAAGTGGGGCTGCAAAAGGACATCAGAGTCCTGGACCCCGCACCACATCGGAAGGACACAGAGAGGAAGGGATCCAGGCAGCAGAAGCCCTCACACTCACCCTGCCTGTTGCCCTGCACGAGGGCAAGCTGAGGGAGGCACCCACACCCAGACGTCCTGGCAGCCGGCCTGGGCGTCCTCCCCCACTGACCTTCAGCGAGGTCCACTGCTGCCTCCCGCCTCGTCAGCAGCCCCTGGGCCCATTCGCTGGAGCTACGTTAAGTTCCGGGTGAAGGACTCCGTCTTGCAGGACAAGTTCCCTGGGGCTACCCACCTGCCCACAGCCCTGAATCAGCCTGGAGCTTCTGCCTGAGCCAAGCCTGATCCACGTAGGCATGTCTATAGCTATAGCCCATGCAATAAGCCAGAGGCAGCCAGAGCCCAGTGGGTAGGACGGAGCCCCCCCCCCCCAAGATTCTATTACCATGGACCACTCTAGGCTCTGCCCACCCACTGGGCAGGAAACCTGCTCTGGGGTCTTCCCACTCCAGGGAATCTTGGGACCCCTATTTGGCACACTGACGCTCCTAGTCTCTCAGTGCCAAGACCCAGCTTCATCTACAAAAGCACAGAGAAAATGGGGCTGGCAAGCGGAGAAGCACTAGCCTATGTGTGTGAGTCCCCACCTTCTCAAGCAGACCCCTCCATCCTCCCTGGGCAGCAGGCCAGCCACTCTCTGTGCACAGTCCATCAGAGAGAACCTCTGCCCCAGGCTGGGAGGCATTCCGAAGGAGGAGACCAGGAGAGCGCTGCGGCCCGGCTTTCCCAGGCGATGTGGTCAGACTGCTGGACACGGCAGCTCTCGTGGCAACCCCACCCCAGCTAGCCCGAGACCACCGGGGCGGCCTGGCAACATGTGCAGTACTGCGCTGATGGCTGCAAAGAGCCCCTCCCCACACAGCTGGTTGGACCTCCCAGAGGAGGGGTGGCCCCCCCAATGGAAAGAGTGACTCCTCTAGTGCTCAGCCAGCCGTGCCCTGCACACCTGGGCCCCACTTCCATCACACACATCCTAACCAGGCTGCACCATGGCCGCCTCTGCAGCTGCAGACCCCGCGCCCCGGCCAGAAGGTGCCCTCCAGGCGTTGCATCCTCAAGACTGACCTGTCTCTTCAGGGGCCAACATGGACATTTGGGAATATGGCCCCTGAGTACTCAGTTCTTATCCTTCTTGTGAGGTTCTGCTTCCTGGGGACAAGGGTCAAGCTTCCCGATTCTTAGTCCCTGTGAAATTCTGTAAACTCAGGATCATGGACCACCCTTTCGGGTGACTTGAGAAGTCCAGCACACAGCAAGCAGGCGCACAGAAAGCCTTCCCTGTTCTGTTTCTGGAGCCTGGAACAGTGTGTACCATCTTACATCTCCAAGAGCTGGAGGGCCAGGAGCCCAAAAGGGGGTGACTGCAGAGTCCTAGTGCTCAACCTGTCTCCCACCTCATCAGAATTCTCTCTTCGGATCCTCCCCTAGCACTGTTCACCTGCCCTGCTCCCTTCCCTGTCCGGTCTGCAAATGGACAATGGGGACTCACACCTTGGCCTTTCCAGCCCAGGCCTTTCCCACCTGGCATCTGGAAGCCAGAGGGTAAGTGAGGAGGGTGAGAGGGTGAGCTTTCAAGGCATTTGCCAACCCCCTAAGTGTCCCCCTGGGTCTCACAGTCCTGATCAGTCCTTCTTCCTCTCAGCACCTCAGCTGCACCCCAGCTTCCTGCAGCCCCAGCAGGCAGGAGCTGGTAGGCCTCAGCTCGTGCTGCAGGCTGTGATGACTTTCCTGATCAAGTCTCACTCTGAGATCCCTCTGCACCAAGCCTTGGAAAGTGAGGAAGCTGTCAGTGGCTCAGAGCTGGGTTCCCAAAGGTCTCAGTTGTCTTTCTCTGGGCTCCCGGCTTTGGTGGAGTCTCAGAGACTAAAGGGGGAAAACACTGCCCCCAGCCCCTCCCCCGTTTGCCAGCAAGCCGTATTAACTGCTTTGGAAGCCTTTCTGTAGAAATCTTGGAGACTTGCACACCTTCATTTGATTTTTTTTCCTCTCCTGGAAAGGAGAACGACCCTTACAGGGCTGTTCAGAGAACATCAAAGCCCAGAGGCTGCTTCAGTGAATGACGCCCCTACTCCCTAGTCACCTCGTCTACCTAGCGGGGGAAGTGGGGGCTGCTGGCCAAGGGCACGGTCCCGGGGTCCTCTCTCTCCCCTATCCCTTGTTTCACCGCTCCTCCCGGTGGCAAGAGCTCCCTTTTCTTCTTTTTCGGTTCCAAACCTGAGCGAGTCCCCTGACCCAATGGAAAAACAGAGTGAAGGAGCATTGCAACCTCGCTTCTGGCGGCTTCCAGCCCAAGGCCGGCGCCCCGCCCGCCCGCCGGCCGCCTCGGCCCTCGGGTTACTGCAGTTCAAACAGCACGTGCCGCCCGCGCTCCCGGCGGCGGCGCAGCGGGAGGGGGCGGGGAAGCGTGCTGCGTGCGCGCCGGCTGCCCGCCGCGGCCCGGGCTCGGGCAATCCACCGGATAAACACCCGCTTTCTCTTCCTCTTCGCGCAGAGTAGGTGCGCTTTGAACGTCAGCGCACCTAGACCGCGCCCCACCCCTTGCCCTTCCCCCACGGACCGCGCGCCCGCCAGAGCAGGGCCCCAGCCCACCCAAACTACCCCGGCCAGGCCGGAAGACCGCGGCCGCGGGCTGTCTCCAGGCCCGACACAGGCCAGACTCGCCCTCCGCGCAGCCTGCGGCAGCCAGGCCAGGTTTGGCTTAGCTCGGTGGGGCTTTGGGGCTTTCCTGGGGTAACTCTGAGAAGGAGGAGGTGGAGAGTGGGGGAACGGAACGCTCGCCCTCCCCGCCCCCTTCTTCCAGGAGAGCGGCGCCCTGAGCAGCCGCCTGCATCCCTGCAGACCCCACGCGCACAGCGCCGTGCAGACCATCCCCAGGCAGCCCCGTCACCTCTAGTGGTGTCACCGCGTGGTGGGTCAGCCGGGGGTGCCCGAGAGTGGATCTAAAGGAGGCCCAAGCAGAGCCGAACCTCGGGCAGGAGACCGTCCAGCGGCGCAGCCCGGACCGCCGTGCTCCTTTCCCGAGGAAGGTGGTCCCCTGGCGAGGGTCGGGGCGGTTACCTTGCGCTTGTTGCGGTGGATGTCGCCGATGGAGTTGGCCACCGTGTTGGGGCCCAGCAGCACGCGCGCGCTGCGCGGCCACTCGGTGCTCACTAGCTGGTGCTCGCCCAGTAGGATCTTGCGCACGTTCTCCGCTCCCGTCACGCGGATCAGCGGCCGCCCCAGCAAGTGGGTCTTGAAAACGTTGCCGTACTTCTCCCGGCGCGACGACTGGAAGCCTGAACCCTGCGGGAGCCACACCAGAAGCCTCTCAGGACTCACAGAGGACCCGTGGGGCCCTGGCATCCTGCCCCACCCTAGGCCCAGGCAACCCGGTTCCTGCCCCCCCCCGGCCGCGCGCGCACCATCACCACACACTCTACAGGTTTTATTTTTCACGGCGTGCATTAGGACTGCGGAGTGGGGCTGGAGGGGAATAAATAATGCGGGAGCGCGGAGAGACGGAGGCACCCACGGAAGGCGGCTTTCCTAATGACTTTCGGGGAGGGGGTGTATCCCCGACGGCCGAACGTGAGGCCGGAGCCTGCTCCCCCACCCCTGCGCGGCGGAGCCTCTCGGAATAAATATTTCCAGGCTCCAGGCCACGGGCTGGCGAGACCCCGCGGGGTGGCCGCAGGCCAAGGATTATTTATAGCGGCGAGTCGTGCGTGCCCGGAGGCTGTCCCCAGAGATGGGGGTTGGAGTTTCCTCTCTGCTCCGGTGTGGCCCTCCGTGGGCTCCGCAGGGTGGAGCCTTGGGCCCAGAGCCACGACTCTCCCGAAGCCTTGGTCCTGGGGACAACCGGGACGGACTCTGGTCACGGCCCTGAAGTTTGGAAGTGGAGCGCCGGGAAGGTGCTCTGAGGGGCGCTGGGATGGGCGCGGGGCGGCGCAGGTAACCGGATCGTGGCCCCAGGCCGAGCTCTGGGCCGCGGCCTGCGGGGCCGGAAACCTCCGTCGCCTTCGCCACCCAGCCCGCCTTAACCCCTCGGGCGCCGGGGCGCAGGGGGCGGGAACCACCTGTGCTTCTCCCGGGCCAGCCCGCAGGGGTGCAGGCGGGACCCCGCCCTCGAGCCCACGGCCCTGCCCGGAGGCTCCCCTTCCTGGGCCGCCCCCTCCTCGCTTCTTTCTCCCAGGGAAACCGTACACCAGTTGGAAGTGCACACGCCCAGATGCGGAAGGCGACTGCAGACCCCAGATTCCTAATGGGTTTTCCACATGCTCCTGGACCGGCGCGCGACAGGGAGTGAGCCGGGAACCCCGCGCCGCCTGGGGGGCCGAGCGGGGGACGCCCCCATCCCCACGCCGGCCTAGACGGCGCCGGCCCCTTTAAGACAAGTCGGGGCGGAGGTGGGGTGCGGCCGAGGGGGCGCGGAGCGGGGTTCCCGTCCTCGGCGGCCGCGCAGGCTCCCTCGCTCGGTCTCCCTCCGTCTCTCTTCTCTCGTCTTTTCCTCTGTTTTTCTTTTCTTTCGACACAAAAGTTGGGTTGTGAATTTTCCGAGGTCGCCGCCGCCTCGCCCCCACCCCCGCCTCTGATCTGCCTAACTATAATTAAAGTGCGTTTTTTGTGGCTTTAATAAAGAGTTATTTGTCCGCCGTTTCCACGGCCTTCACAAAGAGGACTTTCATAGGGGCGGCCGTTCGGGCCGCGAGTCCAATTTATACAAAAATGTATTTTTAGCCCTGGGCTCTGTTTAGATGGTGCTCAGTGGAAACCGAGAGCCCTTGGAGGTCCCCCGTAAAATCTGATAAATTACTCCGAAAACAACACCGGATTCGGAGGGTTCACTTTAACCCTTCAGCACCCGCAGTCCCTCCTCCGGCGGGACCTGACCTCCAGGGGCGCGGATGCCCAGTGAAGGGCGTCTAATTTTCGTGCTGGCTGCACCGCACCCACAGGGCCCTGGTGAGATTGAGGAAAGTGGCAAGGGACGTGGGGGAGGGGCAGCCCAGGAAACAGGATGGGACGATGGTTCGGAGGATTGTCTCTAAAACAGGCGGGAAACGCGCCCACTGGAGTTATTTTATTTTCTAAGTTCTCAGCTAAAGCCTGGACCACCGCCACAGTTAACCCTTTAAATGTGGAGACAAGAAACAGGCGAAAGAGATTTTGTCTCAATGGAACATCGGATTATTTGAAGTGAGGAC